GCTGAACAACCCCAACTCTCTCAGCCTTTCTTCACAGGAGAGGTGTTCCATCCCCCTCATCATTTTCGTGTCCCTCCTCTGGACCCGCTCCAACAGGTCCGTGTCTTTCTTGTACTGAGGACTCCCAGCTTGTACGTGGCCTAATCCTGCTGCTCACACTGAACTGCAGAGCCAGTTCGTGGCCCCATCCCCAACAGCACCCATGCGCTCCCCATCCCAATTCCCTGTCCGTCCCCGTGTGTCGTCCCCCCCCCCCCACCCACCAACTCAAACCAACACCTATGCCCCGGCGAGGAGCGATGCCGGTGCAGACCTGAAGCCCTTACAGCCCACGGGTGAGCAGCCACCACCCAACCATCGCCGTGGGGATTTATTTGCCCTGTGGAGGAAAGCCATGTCCAGCTGCCATTCGGTGCCCCCGAGGCCTCCAAACACACCTGGAGCCGGCCGAGCGCTTCGCCAGGCACCCGCAAAATTAATTGCAGTTTCCGAGAACAAAAGCCTGTATTGGCGAAACGTGGGGTTGGGGGTTTTTTTGGTCTTTTCTGCTGGAGAAATCCAAGGTTTTGCAAGCTTAATCTCCTTCACCTGCTATTGCTTCATGCCTGAGCAAACAGCCCAGTGGCTGAACAAGCACATCGGGGCTGGGGACGTCCAGCTTTGCAGGCGGCTGTATATAAGGGACGGAGCCGAGCCACGTCCCGTCAGAGCACGAGCCTCCTCTCGGCCGGCCAGGCAATGCTGGCCCCTCTCGCCCTCCTCCTGGGGCTGCCACTCGCCCTTGCCGCCGAGCCCCCCAGCTGCGCTCCGCTCGTCCCGGTCACCTTCGACAATGCCACCATCCCTGGGGTAAGCCCTGCCCTCAGCCGGGGCGCCCATCCTCGCCTTTCCTATCAGCATCGCTAGCAGTTACGGGTCCAGGAAGAGGTTATGAACCCAATCGGCAGCTTGACTCTTATCTCACTGCCTGTCCATGCTTATTATTCCTAAAAAAATCAAGACTGCTGCACAGGAGCATGGGGATGGGGTGCAGCCTTGCAGCTCTGCACCCATAAACTCATGAGCAGGTGCTTTTGGGGGGCTCCTGCTTCCATCTCCCCATGCAAACCAGGCTGGGCAGCACCGTCCCCAGTGCTTCGCCGCTCTATTTTAAGTCCTTCAAGTGACGGGGTCTCAGGTCCCGAGTCTCCATCCGCAAAACCTTTCACTGCATAAACAGTATTCAGTCCCTTGGGGATGTTTAATGGGAGGAAAGCAATGAAAGCCGGGCACAGAGCAGGAAAAACAAGTAGAAAAACAAGCTGGCCATCCTGGGAGCTGGAGCATCGCCTTAGTGGGGAGGGGACAAAACCAAGAGCCCCTCACCTGGCCCGGATCCTGCCCAGGGTGGTCACCTACCGGGGGTGCTCGTGGGCGTGGGACAGCGGGGCACGGCATCTGCTTTTACTCACGTGGTGCCGGTGGGTGAAGTCGGCACAGACCCCGACCCTTCCCCGCTCCCCTCCTCTCCACAGCTCCTGGGACAGTGGATCTACATCGCCGGTGCCTCCAGGTACCCGCCTCACCTGGAGGAGCTGAAGTCGGTGAAACACGCAGCTTTTTCCTTCTCGCCCGGCAGCCACGAGGACGAGCTCAACGTCACCGAAATCATGAGACTGTAAGGACGGGGATTCGCCCCCTCACCCAGCTCCCCCGTCCCCGGGGGCATTTCCACCCGCTGGTACCATCCTCCGGGCTGAGACACCCCCACAAATTTGGGGCTGGAGAGCAGCTATGCCAAATTTATTTAAGCTCTGCAGCCCAGCTCGAGTTCTGAATCCCTCGGATTTGGCTGGGGCAGTTTGGGGGGTATTTGCCCCATCTGACCTCTCTGCTCCACAGGAACGAGACGTGCGTGGTGAAGAACACCAGCAAGATCCTGGTCTTTTGGCACAACTCCACCCTGGCACATGGTAAAGCCTGGTCCGTGGTGTGAGGCCGGGATGGGGGGGGCGGATGAGACACACCGCAGCCGCACCTTGCACCCTCCCGCTTCTCCCCCCCAGTATTTGGCACTCTGAGCCCCTGGCACCAGGCCATTTTACACCTAGAAGCATGTCTGGAGGTGGGGGGAAAAAAATTCTTCCACCCCATGCAATGGGTACGGCAGCACTGTGGGACCAGACTGGTCCCCATTGGGATGAGTCTCCCAGGATAAAGGGGATGAGCAGCCCCCACCGTGCTGCCGGCTCTGCCCGGGCTGAGCCCCAGCACGGGGTGTCACTCCCCAACGGGGGACCCTGCTCTCCCCATGCCTTCCAGTTGATGACCAGGTGGCTTCCACGGCCAAACTGATCCAAAGCGACAAGGACCTGCTGATCCTGAAGCACCTCAACACCAACTTCCTGACTCTGAGCCTCTCGGGTGAGTGGATGCTGCCCCAGACCCGTGGGGCATGTCCCTGCCTGGGGACGCACCGATGGGCACGGGCATCCCCAGCCCTCACAGGTGGGGCAAAAAGCCCCTTTTTCCCCCCGATACGGAGAGGGCAAAGATGGGGGCAGGCAGGCAGCGAGGTCCCCATCCACACCACGGGGACCACCAAGGAGCAAAGCACTCCCTAAAACTCCCTTCCCCCCCCCCCTCTCTTTTTACCACCCCATTTCTCGGACAGCACGGATGCCCAACGTGAGCAAAGAGGTCCTGGAGGATTTCAAAGCCCACCTGCACTGCCTGGGCTTCACGGAGGAGGAGATATTCTTCACATCCGAAAAGGTCCGAACCCCTCCCCAGGGTGGGCGAGTCCCAGCCCGGGCCAGCTCCCACCACCAGCTGGGATAGGGGTCCGGGGGGGCTGTAAGATTGGTTCCCCACCGTGGCTGCCCCTCTGCATGTCCTCTCTCCTCTCTGAGCATCCACCCCAGCCGTTCCCAGCTCTTGGGGCGGTTTTGGGGCGAGGGAGCACCAATGGCCACTCTCCCCCTCTCCCGCAGGACGCCTGTCCCCTGCCCGGGGAGAAGATGGGCAAAGACGACGTGGAGCCGCCGCTGGGGTAACCCCTGCGGGCCAGGCTGGCCGCTCCATCCTCATCCTCCTCCAGCCCCTCCACGGGGGCAGCCCCGCCTGCCGGCCCCGGCCGGGCTCAGCTCAGCCTCAGGACTTTCTATCGAGGTTTCGTTTTTTCCTCCCACATGAAACACCCAGTTTCCCTGTTCTCACCCGGACCCGAAATAAACCCCCGTGTTACAACCGCCTGCCACTCCTGCTGCATCCTCGCCGGGGCCGCAGGCAGAACCCCCTCCTGCCTGCCCTGCCCGCGATGCCGCATCTCCAAACCTGCTGAGAGGCGTGAAATGCCCCGGACAAAACCCTGCCGGGGCCGAGCACGGCAGGAGGCACAGAGATGATCGTCCCTCCGGCCAGCTCCACGGCAGCACGGGACCCTCCTGGCCACCTCACCCGGCGGGTCCCCTCCAGCCACGGGGCATCGGGATGCCAGCACCCACCCATCATCCTTGACCCCATGGGGATACGCACAAACCCACTGACCCCTTTGGGTTTCCTCCACCGTGACTCAAACCAACCAAGGCAGTTTTAGCACCCAAACATCCCCCCCTGAATTTTCAAGCCAAATCTTACGGGGCTTCGCCTGCGCTGGGGGCTTGCGCAGGGAGCACAGCAGGTTGGGGTGACACGGGGTGACATCGTGCCTTCCCCGGGTGTCCCTGAGCAGGGGAAGGGGGAGAGGACGGGAAAAACCATCACCCAGGGCCAGACCAAGGGACTTGGGGATGCTTTGCTACAGGAGAGGAAAAGGCAATCAGAAATAAAGCCGGAAAAGCAGGTCCTGCCCTGCCTGGTGGCACGGGGACAGGAGCGGGGACAGGGGGGTCAGGGGAGCCACCGCAGGGGACGCATCCAGCAGGACCGGGGTGACCTCCTGAGGCCCTTTCAGCCCCATTTTTATGGCCTGTTTTGGCAAGGAGGAGGAAAACACCTTCCTGCCCAGGAAGAAGGTGGCTCTTTGAAGCCCCCCAGGCTTCACCCAAGGTGGAGGGTGGCTGCACCCCAGCCAGCACCAGGGTGGGGGGCTGCACGGCGCCTCATTTGTGGAGCAAGAGTGAACTACGGTGGCTGCTCACAGGGAACAAAACAGGCAAATTGAGGGCGGATTTTAGTTTTAAATGCAGCAAGTGCATCACCCCCATCATCTCCAGCCACGTCGACAGCTCACAGCTATTGATGCTCACCACCGGCAGCCGCAGCCGAGGCCAGGGCAAGCTCGGAGCCGGGCACAGGGCTCTTCTCTGGGCAACGTCCCCAAAAGGTGCTGGTTGCGTCACCGCCGCGGAGCCGGCAGCCCCCGGCACGTCCCGTCCCCTCCCCTACAGGGCTGCAAAAGCAAACGGCTGAGTGAGCACGTCCGTCTGTCCAGGGCTTCGCTCGCTCCTCGCTCTCGAGCAGCCATGGCTGCGGCCAGGGTCGCTGCCATCCTTGGCCTTGCGGCGCTGCTGCCCACGGCCGCCTTCCCCTGCGGAGCCCCGCACCCGCAACACCCGGACAACGCCACTGCGTCGAAGGTAGGAGAGACCCGAGCCCTGGAGGGCTGCCCCACTCCTGCAACGAGTTTGTGGGTGCTCTGCTAAGCCTCACTCTCCCCTGGGAAAGGGGGGAACCCTCCCTTGCCCCCCAGCACATCTGCTGAGGCGCCCTCAGCAAAACATCTGCAACAAACAGGAAACGTTTGCTTTCCAAAACACCTCAAATTACCCAGTTTTTCTCGTGGTCTCCCAGCAAGTCCCAAAGGCGACCTCGAAACAAGGGGGGCTGGCTGGGTATTTTTTTGGTGCAAATCCCCCGCGGCAGCGCAGGGCTGTCCTGGCCCTGCTGCACCGTGCAGGGACACCGGAGCCAACGCCAGCACTGTTTCCCAATCCCCACGTTCAGCTATTTTTTTTTCCCTCCGTGTGTTTGCACAGGTTTCATTTTGTTGCTGCCAGTGCGGTGCAAGAGGGAGAACTAGCAGAGGCCCGAGGTCAAAAATAACAATTTTGCCACGGGGAGGGTGGAAATCTCTTCCCCAAAGCTCCCCCTGCAAACCCAAAAGCTCTCACCGCCCTGCCCCTCTCTCCCCACAGCTGCTGGGGACGTGGCTGTACGTGGCCGGGGCCGCCCAGTTCCCCCGGCACCTCCTGGAGATGCTGCTCATCGACCACGGCTACCTCCACGTGGAGCCCCGCACCGGCGAGCAGGAGCTGCTCATCACCCAGCACGTGGCCGTGTAAGATGCAACCCTCGGGTCTCTCTGCCCTGACCCATCTCCTCCCACGCGCTGCCGCCCCCGCAGCCGTTTCAACACGAGATACGAGCACGGTTTCAGACTGGTCACAGCTGCTGGACGTGGTTGTACGTGGCCGGGGCCGCCCAGTTCCCCCGGCACCTCCTGGAGATGCTGCGCATCGCGTGGCCGTGTAAGATGCAAGATGCA